TATGCTACAACGTAGATGAAAGGATATCTATTGTATTCCATTTATATGAAATGTCCAAAATAGGTAAATCCCATAGATAATAATAATATTAGTGGTTTCCAGGGACTTGTGGAATAGGGAAATGAAGAGTGACTGCTAATGGTTAAGTGGTTTCTTTCTGAGGTGATGACAATATTGGTTGCACAACCTTGTGAATATACAAAAAACCACTGAATTGGATATTTTTAAATGGTAAATTTTATAGGATGTGAACTATAACTTAACATTCCCAGTGGGAATGTAAATTGGTACAATCTCTTAAGGTGCAATTTTACAATATTTATCAAAATTACAAAGGCATCTACCCTTAAATCCAAAAAAATTCCTTTTTTAGGAACTTATCCTTCATATATATTCCAACATGTACAAAGCATTCACTTCACCATTCTTAATCAAAAAGGCTGGAAACAACCTACATGTTCATCAGTATACAACTGGTTAAACAACTACAATGTATCCATTTAACAAAATATGATGCAGCCCTAAACATTGATGAGGATAATCTTTAGTCAACAAAATGGAATGATTTCAAATGTTAAGTTAAAAACAAACAAAATAGGAGGTACAGATCAGGGTGATGAGTATGTTACCACTCATATAAAAAAAATGACACTATCTACATATGTATTTGTTTGTAATAGGCATAAAGCACCTATGAAATTATATATATATATATATATATATATATATATATATATATAATTCGGAGCATTGTCTACAAAGATAGGAAATGGATGTCTAAGGAACTGTGCGTGTATGCGTGTATGTGTGTGTGTGTGTGTGTGTGTGTCTATGGTCAACTGAGGGAAATGAAATTCAATTTCACTATAAAATTTTCACTATAAGCCCTTTTGTAACTTTTGAGTTTTTAAGCCATGTGAATGTATTTTCTATTTTAAAAACAAATACAGATTTTTTTAAAAAATTTCACAAATAAATGAATGAGTCATAGGGCTGTGGGAAGGCCCCTAGCTTGAGTGTAGAGACCTGAATTTCCAGTTCCTGAATTTACCAGTAACTACTTACCTCATCTGCTAATTAGTCTCCTCCATCACCTCCAACCCGTACCCAGTTCCTACACATTTTTCACCAAAGCATGTACATTTTAAATAGTTCAGTTTGTGAGGGCTCTGCACAATTAAATGTCTCAATATAAAAGGTTGAATTCAGGTTCCTGATTAAATAAGTTCCTAGCAGCAGAACAAGTAGTACATGCAATTTGTAAGATACACTGTGTTGGGTAAGGTTAATCTTTCTACCAGTAGATGGGGTTAGTATGATAGGTATAATAATGTGCATTTGTCAAGTTAGAAACTTGCCCTAATGGATACAAGAACCTTAGAGTCAAATTAATTTAGAGCTAGACAAAGCCTAGAGTTCAGCCCAACTCCTGTTTCACAGATGTGGAAATGATGCCCAGTGAGGTCAGAGTCTGACACAGCCACGACTGAAACCTACATCTCAGGTCCTAGCCAGTTCTGTTTACTCAATACATAATTTTGTAAACCAAAAAAATTAAAACTCAGGATTTCATGAGAGCATTAAGTCCAGTCAGTCTAGGCTTGTTTATCACCTTGTGCTTTTCTTTTCTAAAGTTAAATAATTATGGGAAAGAGGTCTGCAAATAATAACTTAAAGCATGCTTGCTAAGTTCACAGATACGACTCTTAACAAGTTCCTTCAAGTACTTCATTTTGAAACAGTTGAAAAATTCCTTCATTTTATTGTCTAAAGTTATGTATAACAAATGACTCAGAAATAAAGTCTATTTTTATTTTACACTGAATATAGGCAATTCCTAACTCAGAAATATGATGGGTTGATTCTTTACATTGAGATATTTAGGAATGACCCAAATGTCCGAAAGTAATACAGGGATTATTTAGTATGTATGAGGCAGCCCTTGTGATGATATTTTTTAATAATTTTGAGTACGCAATATGTGTAGTGGCTATAAGCATCAACCCTAGAGCCATGTGGCCTGGGTCAATTCCTGGTCCGACATTTACTAGCCTTGTGACCTTGGGCAAGTTTCTTAACCTCTTCCAGCATCGGTTTCCTTGTCATAAAACAGAGATAATAAACAGCTGACATGAGAATCAAATGAGTTAATACGTGTAAGTGCTCAGAACAACACCACCATATAGTATCTGACTCCTAAGCCCTCTCAGAAATACCTACTTCTTTAAAAGTAGTCACTTGCTAACCTTAGGTAATATCTACCTGGGTCTAATGAACTCTAATAGAATAAAGTGGGTGAGAAAAGTGGGGAAAAAAAATGTTTGGAGAAGCAAGGCTGCTTTAGAGTCAGCTACATTGAGAGGTCTTTAAACCTTTCAGAGTGCCTAGCTTTGACTATTCCTTTACTTCATAACCACGGGGTACTCTAAATACTCAGGTTTGTTCTCCAACACTGAATGTTGGTGACTGGTGGGGGAGGACGTTAGGGGACAAAAGCAACTGCTTGTAGGAATGGGTTTTGTTTTTTAGATGGATTCTTGCTCTGTCTCTCAGTTTGGAGCGCAATGATGCAATCTCAGCTTACTGTAGCCCCTGCCTCCTGAGTTCAAGCGATTCTCGTGCCTCAGCCTCCCAAGTAGCTGGGACTATAGGCGCATGCCACCACGCCAGGCTAATTTTTGTATTTTTAGTAGAGACAGGGTTTCACCATGTTGGTTAGGCTGGTCTCGAACTCCTCACCTCAGATGATCCACCTGCCTCAGCCTCCCCAAGTACTGGGATTACAGGCATGAGCCACTGTTCCCGGACCAGGAATGTATTTTTGAAGTTGGTATTTGCTTTCCTTTCCAAGTCTGTTGGAAGGGAGGAAGTTGGAGAAATGAATGGCCCTTCCATTCTTTTGCAATTTGAGTTCAGTTATCTTACTTCTGAGCAAATGCAAAACCCCTTGGGGCAAACTCCTCCTTTCCCTTCTTTACTGGAACATCCCTTTACTCCCACAAAGTGTCCAGGGTGAGATCTGCACAATGTAGGGGATTCCTGATTACAGGTAGCAGCCAAGGTCAGAAACACCAAAAGTACTAAGGTGGATGGTGAAGGGAAGCATCCTTTACTCCCATTTCTAACCTTGGCTACAGCTATTTCTCACCCTTAGCAACACCTAATCTTTCCTCTTTATAAAAGCCTTCAGACCACTGTGCAAATCTTTATCACAAGTAAGTCCTCCCTTCTCTTGATCTCAGGACCACCTGTGGCTAGGGTTGATCTGAAAAGTTATGCCAACACATACTTGCGAGGACAAAGTTCAAATATACATCCCGTCAGTAGCACAGAAAGCTCAAAAATTTTTTGTTGAGTAAACAGCATATATACTCTGTGGAGGTATGCGGGTGGTATCCAACAGTACCCATTTATTGTATTTAATATGGTCATAATAACTTCAGAGTCTTGGAAATATGACAATTGTGGCCAGGCGCGGTGGCTCACGTCTGTAATCCCAGCACATTGGGAGGCCGAGGCGGGCAGATCATGAGATCAGGAGTTCGAGACCAGCCTGACCAACAGAGAGAAACCCCGTTTCTACTAAAAATACAAAAAATTAGCTTGGCATGGTGGCGAGCGCCTGTAGTCCCAGATAGTAGGGAGGCTGAGGCAGGAGAATCGTTTGAACCCGGGAGGTGGAGGTTATGGTGAGCTGAGACCGCGTCACCGCCCTACAGCCTAGGCCACAGAGCGAAACCCTATCGAGAAGAAATAAATATGGCAATCCGTATTCAGACAGAGATGAAAAAAGGCCAATTTCATAAGCCTGAGACCACCAGTGGATGCAGGAAAAGCACGACACCGCCTTGACCACTTTCTAGGTGTGTGATTCTTAACATGCCAACAAACATACATTCTTCCTGCCTCGTCCGTAAAAGGGGGTTAAGGACAACTACCTGCCGTTTCAATAATTCGCTTTTAAAATAACCAAGTGCTATGTAAATATTCTTGCTGTTCTTAGTCATCTAGCATCCAATGCACGCTCTACATTTATATTTTCTCTGTGGAGGCGTTCCTAAAGGGAAGCTTTTTTTTTTTTTGAGACGGAGTTTCGCTCTTGTTGCCCAGGCTGGAGTGCAACGGCGCTATCTCGGCTCACCGCAACCTCCGCCTCCTGGGTTCAGGCAATTCTCTTGCCTCAGCCTCCTGAGTAGCTGGGATTACAGGCACGCGCCACCATGCCCAGCTAATTTTTTGTAGTTTTAGTAGAGACGGGGTTTCACCATGTTGACCAGGATGGTCTCGATCTCTTGACCTCGTGATCCACCCGCCTCGGCCTCCCAAAGTGCTGGGATTACAGGCGTGAGCCACCACGCCCGGCCAAGGGAAGCTTTTAATAATGAATATGCTCAGAAGAGTTCAATACAAGGCTACATCTTAAAGGAATGTCGGCAGCCTAAGAAAAATCAGCTTAGCATCAGGTTTCATTCCAGGCATGTTGAGAACCTGGAAAAAATAATCTTTGGTTGGACACTCCTAACCCATGACCGCTGGGTTCCGGGGGGTCAAGGTCGAACCCACAGCGGGCACCCCTTCATTTTACCTCTCACCTCGTCTTTGCTCCGAGCCTGCGCCCTCCCGAGCCTCCCACCTCAGGACCGCTCCGCCTGCGTGCCGCGGCGCCCAGCACCGGCAATCCCATAAACCCCTTCGCCCAGAGCTTGAGAAAACGAAAGACAAATCCACTCGCCTGACCCGGCAGCAGGGGCGCGGGGCGCCGGGCGCCAGAGCCGGGCATGCGCAGAGGCCGCGGCGGGCTGGGGGCGGCGGGCTGCTGGCCTGGAGGCGCAAGGCCAGGGGCGAGTAGTTGCAGGGCCTAGATCCGGGTCCGGGGACTGAGCCCAGCCTGCCAGCGCCAAGCGGCCTTAAGAGCCAGGCGGGACACGGAGCGGTCGGGAGCGGGAGGGCGGCGGCGAAAGGCGGGGCGGAGCCGGCGCGGCCCGCGGGGCGCCGAGTACCTGGTAGCGGCCGGTGAGCAGCTGGCTCCGCGACGGCGTGCACAGCGGCTGCGTGTAGTAGTTGTCCAGGAGCACCCCGCCGGCCGCCAGCGCGTCCAGGTGCGGCGTGCGGATGCGGGAGCCGTGGAAGCCCACGTCGTTCCAGCCCAGGTCGTCGGCCAGCACGAAGACCAGGTGGGGCGGCCGGCTGGCCCCTGCGCCCGAGCCCGGCGGCGCCAACAGCAGCAGCAGCACCAGCAGCTGGAGGACGACGGGGAGGAGCGGCCGCCGAGGGCCGAGGCCTCGGGGCAGGCTCGCCGCGCCGCGCGGACCCATCCTTTGCCGCCCACGGTCTCTGCGCCTATGGCGCCACGAGCCCCGGGTACCGCTGATAGAATCAGGAACTGGGCGGCCGGGGCCTGCTCCGCCCCGGCGCGGGACGGCACCCCCAGCGGGCCGTGGGCTAGCGAGGCCGGGCGCTCGGCCCCCGCTGCCTCCGACCCGGACCCCGGCCGCTGTGGCGGGGGAGGAGCCAGAGACAAACCCGCGGGCGCCCGCTGCCCGGCTCCTTGGAAACTCAGCTGACGCTTGGAGGGCACTGAGGCCCGTTATCTTCCCTGGCGATGAACTTTGCACTGTGGTTTCCTCAAAGAAAAGATGTGTTCTTTAATAACGCTTCACAGTTTACAAAACATCTTCACATCCAGCGTCTCCTGTAAAGCCTGCAACAACTCTGGCAGCTAGACATTATAATTAGTGCCAATTTTTCATAAGAAAAAAGCGTATAAATCGTTAAGCCCCTGACTCGGACCCTGAACCATGATGTCTAACTAGCAAAAGCCCAGCCTGTGGCAGGTGGGAGGACGGTGAAAAGGCAGAGGCCTACGTAGCCTTTCACATTCATTTATGCATAGTGTACACCCATGAAGCCACTTCCTCCCCACTAGCAAACAGGCCAAACACACGGTCTGACTGTACGGTGCCCTTTGGAAGGTGCAGTTTACTTTCAAGTTGCCCTGCGTTTGTTGGAGTGTTGTGTGGTCATTGAATAGCTCATTTGCTTGTCGATATATGGGCCCACTCAGAGCTGGCTCCTCCACCAAGCAGTGACCCTAAGAAGCACACAGGATCTAATTAGCCTAAAATATCTGTGAGTGGAAGGGAAAATTCCTTTACTCACGCGCTTATTGAATTGGGAAGTTAGCCATATAACCAGTAGATTCCCTTTGCCTTCCAGACTTCGTGTCTACTCTCTGTCTGGAGATAGATTATAGCTTTTAACAGGTGTTGGGGGCTATTTTTGCATTACGTAGAAAACATATGCTTCCAGGTTGAGTCTGATTCCGTGGAAGTTATTTACAACTTTATAAGTTATAGATAAATAACAATGGAAAGTAATTCTTATTTATGTATACGCAAATGAACTCTATCCAGCGGAGTGACAATCCTTCCCCTCCACCACTACTACCAAGGAAAACAGTTTCACCTCCACTTGTACGTTTATTTTAGTATTCCTAATCTGTTCTTTGGATTGTCTATTGAATTGGTTTTAACACCTTACCAATTTCCTTATTAATGAGTTAAATAAAATCATGTATTCACTTTTATATTTGTATGAGGGTCATGATTTTACCTTTTTTTCCCCCAGAATTATCCTTTAACATATGAAATGTTTGCCTCTTACATACTTACACTTTTTTCCTTTGCATGAAGTAGATTAGTTGATGTTATACCCACTTTAATCTCTAGTGGAATCAATGAAATTTAGCAGAAAAAAGTTAAAATTTTAGCATTAGTTAAATTCAAAGAATAATTTAGAATAACTGTTTGACTCATTATGTCAAGGCTTGAACTTTGCATTTAAAGACGCTGTGGAAGACCTTGAAGGGCTGAGAATTTCCACTGTGGTTTTGTGTGTCTTTCTCCCCCATAACTGTTCCTCCCTACTCTCTTTGATAAAGATCAAGAAGAAATAATTGATGGGTGTTAATCTGCAGGAACAATTCCTCCTTTAACCAGCGTCTCCTGAAACTAGCTAAACTTGCACTGATTATTAGGTCCTATGTTTTTAAATAAAAGCATATGTTCATAGTGCTCCCGAAATGTGCATATGGAAGAGTTAATTCTGTTTTTCATCTAAGTATTGAACACATAATGTGCAGTACAAGCTAGTTATTTTATAAAATCTCTCAATTGGAGTTTGATGTTTCTTCACGATTAGGTAGAAGTTATGGATGTGTGCAGGAATACCACAAAAAGTGATGTGATATGTTTCTCAGTGCTTCCTATGAAGAGGCACATGATGTTGAATTGCTTTCTTATGGGATAACTTTGTTAGGGTAAACATTTACTGCAACGTTAATATTTTCTTCTTGTAATTAAATATTTTATGGAAAGGTAATTTGAGAATATGTAAATATCCTGTTATGTCTCACACACATTATTTTGCTTACCAGGTTTAGGATCTTGCTTCTTGCTTCAGTTAGTTATAATTAGGACGGCTACTAAATGCTGATTTGCTAATTCCTTCATTTCCTGTATTTTTATTAGTTGCCTTTCTATTGTAAGGAAGAACTTTCCCTTCTCATTTATTTATTTCACTATGAACTTGTGGATTCTTGTTTTAATCAATATGCTATAATCCTTTACTATAGTTATTTCAATGCTTAAATTTTCTCTGTTTTGGCCAGTGGGAGATCCTATAGTCTGGCTTATATCCTTTTGGCATGTCCTCTTGAATCTTTGAGCATGTCCATATATTTTGATACAATGAGATTTTCTAGCCTCAACTTGCATTTTTCCTTCCCCAACCCTGGAATCAGACATTCTCCAAGGAACGCTGATTGTTTCTAGGGATGACATTTAGAAAGCAATCTGTGTTTTAGATGTGCTCATTGCTACTGGGCTGTCATCACTTCTAGAATCTCTCTCAAGACAAAGATAGTAACTAAATATATGTGTATACATACACACATATACAAGTGTTTATACATATACCCACATACTATATCTAAACATATCTATAAAACCATGAGTTTATAATGAATGCCTCTATTTCTATTTCCCCTCATTTCTATATGTGTATGGATTGTACCAATTTTCATCACTAGCAACTGAGTAGTATATTGAAGCCAGTTTGGCAGTTTCTTACAAAACTAGACATATTCTTATCCTGCAATCCAGCAGTCACATTCTTTGGTATCTATCAGAAGGAGGTGAAAACATATCCACCCAAGAACCTGCACACATGTTTACAGCAGTTTTATTCAAAGTTTTGGAAACTATGCAGCAATGAAGATGTCCTTCAGTAGTGAAAGGATAAACGGTGGTACACCCAGGCAATGGAACAGTATTCAGCAGTGAAAAGACATGAGCTGTCAAGCCATGAAAAGACATGGTGGAACTTTACATGCATATTATGAAGTGAAAGAAGCCAATCTGAAAAAGCTATATACTATATGATTACTGCTGTATGATATTTTAAAAGGCAAAACTATGGAGATAGTGAAAAAGGTCGGTGGTTGCTGGGTTTGCGAAGTGGGGTTAAGTAGACGTAGCACAGAGGATTTTTTAGGGCAGTAGACTTCAACATTTTTGGCACCAGGGACTGGTTTTGTGGAAGATAGTTTTTCCACAGACCAGGTGGCGGGGTGTGAGGATGCTTTCACGATGATTGAAGCACATTATATTTATTGTACACTTTATTTATATTATTACATAATATATATAATACATAATGAAATAAGATATAATGAAATAATTATATAACTCACCATAACGTAGAAAAACTGCAAGCTCTGAGTTTGTTTTCCTGCAACTAGATGATCCCATCTGAGGGTGATGGGAGACAGTGACAGATTGTCAAGCATCAGATTCTCATAAGGAGCGTGAAACCTAGATAGATCCCTCGCATGCTCAGTTGACAATAGGGTTTGCTCTCCTGTGAGAATCTAATGCCACTGCTGACCTGACAGAAGGCAGAGTTCAGGCGGTAATGTAAGTGATGGGGAGGAGCTGTAAGCACAGTCGAAGCTCCGCTCACTTACAGCTCCCGTCCTCTGTGGCCCAGATCCTAATGGACAGTACCATCTGTGGCCTGGGGGTTTGGAATCCCTGTTTTAGGCCAGTGACGCTGCTCTTTATGATACTACAATGGTGGATACATGTCATTATACATTCATCCAAACCCATAGAATGTACCACACCAAGAATAAACCCAAAAGTAAATTGAACTTTACATGATTATGTCAATGTAGGTTCATCAGTTGTAACAGATGTACCACTCTGCTGTGGGATGTTGATAATGGGGAATGTAAGCATGTGTGGGGACAAGGGATATATGAGAAATCTCTGTACCTTCTTCTCAATTTTGCTGTGAATCAAAAACTGCTCTTAAAAAACTAAGTCTTTTTTAAAAAGTACCATACTTTTAAATTGTTTCTAATCTTATATGAGAAATGATACATCAGTATAGTATTTTGGTTTTGCTTTTCTCTTAAGAATAAAATTGAACATTTTTTCATGTGATGAAGGGCTCTTTTAACAACGCTTTTGTGAACTGTCTGTGTTGTTTTCAATTTTTTTTCTTTTTGGTCTTTTCCCACTCAATTAAAAAATTATTTATATATTACACAGGTTATCCCCTTAATTGTGATATTTATCACAAATATTTTCTTCCAGTTTGTCAGTTGTCAAATTGGTGTATTTAACATGCAAAAGTTATTTTAAATGTTAGACAAATTTATCAATATTTTCTATGATTACATCTGGATTTTGAGTCATAGTGAAACTATCCTTATACCAAAGTTAAAGTAAAATTGACCCATGTTTTCTTCTAGTGATTATATAGTTGCATTTTTACATTTAGATCCCTGATCCATGGGCATTTATTTTTGTGTGCAATGTGGAATATGGGTCTACTTTTCTTTTTCCAAATGGTTGGCCAGTTGTCTCAGCACCATTCATAGGGAATTCCATTTTTGCCTCAATGATATGAGATGCCACATTCATCGTATGCTTAATTTCCACATATGCTTGAGTCTATTTCTAAGTTTTCAGTTAGTTGGATTCTACTTGCCTGACTGTTTACTCATAACACCAGACTGTCTCAGTTTTAAGAGGCTTTACAATGTGTTTTCATGTATGGTAGGGCTAATGGCTCCTCATAGCTTTTCACTTTTAGTGTTTTCCTGGCTGTTCCTGCATGTTTTTTTCTTTTCCTTCCTTTCCTTACTCCCTCCCTCCCTTCCTTCCTTCCTTGCTTCCATCCTTCCTTCCTTCCCCCTTCCTCCTTTCCTCCCTTCCTTCGTTTTTTTCTTTCTTTCTTTTCTTTTTTTTTTTTTTTTTTTACAGTGTCTCCCTCTGTTGCTCAGGCTGGAGTACAGTGATACAATCATGGCTCATTGTAGCCTTGACCTCCTGGCCTCAAGTGATCCTTCCACCTCAGCCTTCTGAGGAGCTGGGGACTGCAGGCGTGAGCCACAACACCCAGCTACTTTTTAAATTTTTTCTGTAGAGATAGGGTCTCACTATGTTGCCCATGCTGGTCTCGAAGTCCTGAGCATAAGTGATCTTCCTGCCCTGGCCTCCCAAAGTACTGGGATTACAGACATCAGCCACCACACCTGGCCCCAAAATCTTTATAATACTCAGTTGTCATATCTAAGAATAAGGAGTGCCTGTCCATTTAAGGTCAATTTTTGCACCTTTTAGAAGTGTTTTCCTCATATCAGTTTTGTACTTTTCTTAAACTTATTTCTAAATATTTTATCTTCTATTTTGCTATTAAATGGGGCTTTCTCTACCATTATAACTTTTAACTGGCTATTATTTGTGGATGTGAAGGCTACTGTGTCTA